CTAAATAACCGAATAGTTTCTTCAACAAACAGTTAGTGACACAGTCCTCACCAAAATGGTGTCAGGAACATTTATGTGTGAGAAATGCCAACACACAGCTCAATGAATGTTCATGTGTATCAAAATGACAATGGCTCCAGTGCATTGACTTTACCTGAAAAAACTTATACATACAAGCCTTTGAACCACCAGATGATGCTGCAAGGACTACAGGACATATGCTACTCCTTAGCTCCTGCATATACAGAAAAACTTAGAGAATAATTACACTGAGGAAAAAGAACAGTTAGAGAATAAATACACCGACAGCATAAAGAACAAGAGAATGAGGAGGAGGAAATGAGGAAAAGAAAAGAAAAAAGATTAATAGTTCTTTGCATGACTTCATTCATGCGTTCTTCATAATACTGGATATGACATGAAAGAAACAAGACAATAAACTAAAAGTAGTTTACTAACTCGTTGTCCTTTATTGCCACATTTTTTGCATATAAAGATATTGGGATGAGACTGACCTTAACAAGCTCATTAAGTACAGAAAATGCCAGTGACGTAGCCCTCTCTGGGATGAATCTGCAGATAAAAATACCCACTAACCATGAAATATTTGTTCAAAGAAATGGGCTCAGAGCGGAATTCAAATAAAAGAAATGAGAAATTCTAGAAAAATAAGGAAGAAGAAAGTCTCTGTCTTAAAACAAAAAAGTACTTTTGGGTTCTAAAGAATGGAAACCTCTTCGGATAAAGTTCAAAAGAAGCTAGTTTTCATTTTATCCCGCTACTTAGGTAGTTCTTAAGATAATTCCGCAATGTCAAATCCAAGAAAGAATCCTCGCTCAATTTCCCTAAAAGAATTTAGAATATTGCCAGCTACCCAACTGGAAAAATCTTCACTGCCCATGCTAATGTGCCATGGAATCTATACAGTCACCCGGAACGAGTGATGTTCTAGCGTGTTTTGCTTCACTTCTTCCTTAAAATTGGCTTCTTTTTTAGCTTCTTGCAATTTAGACTTCTTTATTAGCATTTAACCTAAGCCACACATGCTCCAGAACTTCTTTGTTAGCATTGCTAGGCTTCTCCGGAATGAATACTCTACTTCTAAAAATATACAAGCACGTACAAATATAGCGCGAAAGCTAATTCCCAAATCCCTTCAATACAACTACAGCAAAGTACATAGGTAAATACATATACACGCATAAAATTGTAGTTAGAGTGGGAAGAGCATACGGATTGAGAAAATCGGAGAGGCAAACGAGCGAGTTCCATCCAAGAGAAGAGTAGATATTTACAAAATCCTTCAATTGACTTTCAGTAATTGAGGAAACCCACGCGAAAATCACAACTATTCCTTTGATTTTCAACTCTTCAATACTACTACTATCCTGACTTCTCACCCAATAAATTCTCCCTCCCACAACTCCGCTGACGCCGCCGATCATCGTAACAGGACCTCCGAATTTGATAACTGGAAATCGAAATTCAAAATGAAACGGGAAAAGGAGGGTTTGGTGTGTGGACAGTTGAGTAATGGAAAGAGTAGTAGAGAGAGAAAGTTATCGAGCTCTTCGTGGTGGTGGATCGCAGAAGGGGATTGCGTATGTGCCAGCTCAGATAATGCGCATTTTAGGATATTCATTTGACTGAACCTTATTTGATGATTATTTTTTGTAAAAATAATATTTTGTATACGAGTTAATTGTTTCATCGGTCACTGAACTTTACAAAGTGTCACGTTTCACTAACTGAACTTTAAGTTGCATCCCATCAC